GAGGGGCAAGTGGCGCCGGTTGTTGCTGACTGGCCTGGTCAGATATTCATTCGAAAGGCATTATATATGCAAACAGTCCCAGGTTTACAACATGAATTATTACAAAAGCTCAAGTTATTTCTTCTGATGTTGGGCCCCCTTTATCTATCGTTAAACAGTAGAGAGCAAGTCATGTTAGTGCACCATTCGTTTTTTAAGAAGATGTTTCATTTTGTTTTTGGAGAAGACAACAAGTTCTCAAAAAAACCCCAGCCCTGGCGAATAAATCTTATGTTAGAACTTTCGCGAAATGGATGGGTTAAAATTAGAGATAGTATTATTAAAAAATTTGGTCAAATATGCAAAGATATCGAAATCGAACTGCTCTTGACTTGCTTGATAACTTAGTTCCGGCAACACTCGATGTATATGCAAATTTGTTTTGGTCAGGTCATTTTAATGAATATGTAAAGTCAGTTTTTCGAATTTGGACATTCTTTTTGTGCTGGAAATGAAAGAACTACAATAAGGCCCCCCCTTGTGTTTTTGTCAGATTTATTTTATTGGATGGATATGAGACATCCTTTTTTGAACGTATTGCAAAAACATTTATCAAGTTTAAATGAATATTACCGTATTTTCGCGTAATAACGCGCAGGGGTGTAATTTCAAATTTTGGCCTAAATTAAGCTTAATTCGGGCCAAAATTCGAAATAACGCTCATGGGCATTATTACGCGAAAATACGGTATGTAGAAAATACACATAGCAAAATTAGAGCCAACACTTCCTCAAACGCAACAGCAGAAAATATAATAAAACAGGCATACATTATAATGAATCATGATTTTACTTTTAAAAATACATATTGTAAAACTCGGAAATATCCTTATAATGTTAAGACACTCGATTTTTTATCTGACAAGACTAGCCTTTTTTTATTACAATATTTTAAAAATGTTTTTTATAATCGTGGAAAAAGTACAGCAAGAAATACTACTACTACTACAAATGTCATCAAGGGCACTACCACCACCAAGGGCACCACTACCGCCAAGAGCACCACCAGAGGCACCACCACTATCAAGAGTGACACCACCACCAAGAGCACCACCAAGAGCACCACCAGAGGCACCACCAGAGGCACCACCAAGGGTACCACCAAGGGCACCACCAAGGGCACCACCAAGGACACCACCAACAGTACCACCAAGGGCACCACCAATGGCACCACCAAGGGCACTACTAAGAGTGCCACCACCAAGAAAAAAAAACCATATGCATGTACAAATTAGCCACCTTAGATGAAGAAGTGGACTTGCGACGCTTGCCGACGGCATATAGTACATCGTACCCCCTGCATCCTGAATTATGTGATTTCTGTAAACTTCCATTTGTTAATGATAATGGTGTTGTATTTGTTTGTGGTCATGGTTACCATGTGGTTTGTTATAGCGGAAGGTGCAGTTTTTGTGAAGAATTTTATAAGAAAGGAATTATCAAAAATATCAATTCATTTTTACACCGAATTGAGAAAGGAGCGAATTCACTTACACCAGATGATCTTGATAGCAATGAAAATGATGAGGATATTGAAGAGAACTTTGAAGTAAGAGAAATGCTTGACGTTCCGTCTACACTGGCAATACAAATAGAACAAGTAAAATATTGGTGAATATGTCATTAGAAATTATAAACTAATAAATGTTCATTTTGAAATATTTCTTTTAAATCTATGCTAAAAAAAATTTTTTAAAAAAATCATTCAATTTTACTAAACGTATACCTCTTGGAGCAGTAGTAAAAAAAAAGCATACATTTGGAGAGTGTGTATTTAGAGTGCAAGTATGTAGAGCTACTGAACCGCAACCAGGTTATACTGTGCATTCAGAGAAGTTATATGGTGCGTGCATTTGTAGTGTGGTCTGACTGTATAATTATAAGCATATATTAAACGTTTATTATAAAAATATGCGTCTTATAAAAGTCTCGAACAATAGAGATCATTCGAGATGTACCTTTACAATTTAAATTAAAGCCAACTAATAGACTAACTGACGAAGTTTGGCAAAAAACTAACATTTCATTGGATGTGTTACTATATGACCTTCGTAACATACTATAATCTCTTCTATACAAAATCTTGTGTAATGCTCATGCATAAATAGAACCTCTGTCATGCTGACAAAAGGTCAGGTCTTTTATACATGTTTTGTCGGGCCATGATATACAACACTTTGATCATATCAATGAATAATACTACTTACAAAGCTTATTAATCTAATACCCGCAACGTGAAAGTGTATGCAAACATGAAATGAAGCAAAATAACACGACACACACGAGCTTACCCACATAGGATCATATAGATTACTGTTCGATCCTTGAATATCTTCACGTTGGAGTGTAAATTAGGTGATTTACTACTAGGGATATTCATCTTGATCAAGTGACAAAAATCCCATATAACACCAGATAAATCTGGCATCCATTTATCCATATCTGAATTTATCTGGATATCCATTTACTATTGATATCCAGATAATCTGACAAATATTCGGATAATTATTCGGATATCAATAGTAAAATGGGTATCCGAATAAATTCAGATCTGGTTATCCAGTAGATAAATGGATAAACGGATAATAGATAGGAACTCTACAAATTTGATAATTTTTTTTATTTTAATTCTGAAGACTTATAGAATTAAAATAAAAAAAAATATCGAATTTGTATAGGTAGTTGTTAGAAACATTCATTAAAAGTTAAAAAAACATTTTTATAGATACCTGAAATTTGAATAAAGATTACTCAATACCTATCTAACCAAATTCAATCAATTTTTTTTTATTATAATTAAATAAAGTTATAGAATTAAAATAAAAAAAAAAGATCGAATTTGATTAGATAGGTGCCAAGTAATTTTCATTTAAAGTTTAGATATAAAAAAAAAAGCTGCAGCTAACTTTTAATAAATATTTTTCGGCACCCAGCTATCCAAATGCAACCAAATTTTTTTTATTTTAATTCTGTAAACTCATAGAATTTTAATAAAAAAAATTCATCAAATTTGAATATTTGGTTGTTAAAAAAGTTTCAGTTTAAAATATTTAAAAAAATTTAAGAAAAAAAAATATAGCAATAATATTTTATTAAGTTATATAATTTAGCGCATATGTATTGTAATATACACTCTGATCAACCAATTAAAATATAAGATAGGTGTAATATTACATAATTAAAAAATTTTAAAACAAGCATTCGTTTTGTCAAAAATTACCTATAACTCAAAATTTTGCATATACAACTACCTTTTAGATTCTAATAAAAAAAATTTTTTGCAAGATTTTACTATAAACACATCCTTTATAGCTACTTTAACCTTACTTAACACTAACCCTAATTATATAAAAAATCATTGTTTGATTTCATATTACACCTAATCTTATAGGGTATATTACAATGCATATGTGCAAAATTATTAAATTCTATTTTATTTAATTAATGATTCTTTAGTGAACTGAAGAGTTCTTATAATATAACACAATATGATTTTATAAGTAAATTATATAAACAGTAATGTGAAATTTTTTAAAAAATGTAGTTTTATCTAATGAAACTTTTTTTTATTAAGTAAATTATCTTTGAGCTTCTAACAAAAGTTGTAAAACTTATTAAAATGCATTTAATGGTAATAAGAATATTAAAATTAGCTTGGTAGTTTTTGAGAAATCTTCAAAACCATTTCACTAATATATAAAATTTTTTTAAAAAAATTAATTTTTTAAAGATTTTATATAGTTAGTGATATGTTTTTTAAAGATTTCTCAAAAATCACTAAGCTAATTTTAATGTTCTAACTACTATTAGATGCGTCTTGATGAGCTTTACAACTTTTATTAGAAGTCTAAAGGTGATTTATTTAGTAAGAAATAAGTTTTTTTTAGACAAACATTATATTTTTATCTTAAGTAATTTATATATAGAACCATGTTGATTTATATTATGATCTATTATGATCATTCTTTAGTTCACTAGAAAATTGTTTATTAAACTTTAAATAAATATTTTTTGATCAAAATTTGATAAATTTTTTATTATTTTTATTTTATAGATTTATAGAATTAAAATAAAAAAAAATTAATTGAATTTTAATAGCTAATTGTTATGAAATATTCATTAAAAGTTAAAAAAAAATTGGCTGCAGCTTTTTTTTTATAGATATTTAAATTTTAAACAAAAAATACTCAAAATCTACCTAATCAAATTTGATCAAATTTTTTTATTTTAATTTTATAAGCTTATATAATCAAAATAAAATAATTTAACTGCAAAAACTAATCACACAACTTTCTCCAATGATGTACGTTTTGACTGTCTAAAGGCTTTTTTGGTACTGTCTAATGTCCAAGTACCCACAAGTGTCCAAAGCATGTTTAAGCTTTAATAATTAATAAATTTATTTAAAAAATATATAATTATATATTTTTTAGGTACTGAACATATTTTATTTAGAAAATAATATAGGTTATCATAATAAAATTTTGAATAATTTCAATTTATTTAATTGTTCAAAATTGTCCAAAGTGTCTAAACTTACTGTCCACAACTGTTTTATAACAATACTAACTCTCCTAATGATCATTTAGACCAACTATTCTTAATTAACTCTAATTAAAAAATTCAAAGTCTGACGTCTAAAACTACCTAAGTTTTTTTTTTAGTCGCTGTTGACAAAACCTTTAATATAATACATCGAGAAATAAGCATTAGAGAAGTAGTTTTTAAATTAGGTTAAGCCTTTTCTTGTCTTTAGTGAACTCCCTCCTATATTCAACATTTAAGTCAGAAGAGTTATTCTGATAGCAATTAAATAAAAGAAAAACCGTAAATAGTAAGAAAAGAAGAACAAGAAACAATTTAGAAAGCATTCATTATAGTTGAATCTTGCAAAACCTTTATATTCCTTTGCTACTTTTTTTTTAAAATATTTAACAAAAAGTGGAGAATTTAGTTACTCCTCCAAAAGATCAGCAAGAAATTGGCTTTGTTTATCACTCTTATTCTCAGATAGTCTCAAGTTGCAATATAATGAATAAGAAAAACAACAAAACACATGTAAGGAGGAAGTTTTAAAGCTAAAATTAGAACTGATGATTATATGTCGTGGCTTTAAGGTCGAATATTCTAGGACCTGAGTTAGATTTTACATGAGAGTTGTAATTGGAACACTATATAAGATATGCAATATTTCAAAATCATATGCATATAATTTTTAGCTCTTAGTACAGATTAAAGTGCATTTTAGTTTGATTTTATATCAAATAGCTCTATATATAGATTTCTATGACTATATAGATAGTTTTTTATCTAGTTAGCAGATTTTTATATCTGTAAATAAGTTCTCTTAGATTTTAGAATAGTCTTTTAACTTCTTTATAATTTGGTTATTTTCTTTATATATTTGTCTTTTTGCTTACTCCTTTCTCATTCTACACTTACATCTTTTTTTTCTTTTTTACTTCTTTATAAGAAAGTGTCATTAGATTAGCAACACTCTATTGTAGAGCAGTAATTTTGATCAGGACAGTGAAAACTATCTGTTAATACTGGGGCTCAAATCCTCAAAAAGTTGAAGATCCTAGTGGAAGAAAATATTTACTTAGGCAGGTCGCTTCTAGATCATACTTTAGTACTTAATCCTGGTTTGCTAGGATTATACTGTAATAATAAGACAAATCAAGAGATTTTTTATTTAGATAGGTATAAATCAGTTTATAACAAATAATATAGGTTTAGCTAACTAAAATATTTATTTATAATCTGTTGCTGATTTATAAAATAAAGAAAAAATTGCTGAAGTAAAAAAATATAATAATTTAATTGAATTTGGTCAGGTAGATATTGAGTAATCTTCATTTAAATTTTAGATATTTATAAAAAAAAGTAGTGACTAAATATTTTTTAACTTTTAATAAATATTTTTTGACAACTATTTATACAAAATTAATTTTTTTATTTTAATTTTATAAATCTTCAGAATTAAAATAAAAAAAAATTATTAAATTTAAATAAGTTGTTAAAAATTTTTGTTTAAAGTTTAGGAAAAAAATTTTGCTTTTTTTTTTTTTTTGGTATTAAGGTAAGATCTTGCCTATGACTTTATTTATTAACAATACTTTACATATACTGCTACATTTTGTATTACATATATCAAGTACACCAAGCTTAGACCCGGATCCTATTGGTAATCTGACCGAAATTATTACTTGCACAATAGGTGTCTCTATCTGCTACCAGCTACCGATCTAATTATCTGCAATCCAAACCTATCAGAGTGGTACATTATCATCAACCTACTCACCTGATATTTTATCACTCTTCACAAGTTCTATTTCAGTATACTTTCCTATAATAAGATTCTCCATATCACTCATACCACTTATACTCAAGCTTCTAAATTTGGTAATACTCTTTATAGAAAGGCCTTGTAGCCTAATTAGACTACTTCTAATCTTGGTAAACCTTAGCTAGCCTGCTCAGGTGAGTTCTATCAGTAGGCTCTGTGCTAACTCAGGTTAAGCCTCCATTAATAATATCTAGTTTAGTTAATATGCTTGCTAATCCCCGTTACCACATTGGGTAGGTACTTCTGTGTATTGGAGCAAGTTCGCTGTATTGCATTACAAGTTATCTTATAACTTCCAAATAGCAGTTTTTTGTATTATTTCTTTTCTATAGACTGACAGATTGAGTACTGTCTAGTAACTATGGTATTCCAGTACTCTAATATTTTAGATTACAAGATGCTAGGAGTATAGACCTAGTTTGGCTTGTGGTCTGTAATACTCCTAATTAATCTTGGTATCCTTTAGTTTTTCTAATATACAAGCTTTATTTGTACAATATACTACCAGCCCAGTGAATCTAGTCATTTCGAGTTATTACTATATATCTTGAGTTTTAGCCCACTTACTCTGTCATTGTGGAGTCTTTCCCTAATAGACCAAGTGGCTTTGAGACCAGAGGTGCTTCCGATTCTATTTGGGCTAATCTTTTTTCACAGATCGTCCTCGTGTTCTCCACTTTTCTCACTACTCCAGTTATATTACTGTTATATCACACTCCTAAGCAAATACTCCACAAGTTGAATGCAAGAATGTTGGTGCTGTCTCAGTCA